GGGAGTGAGGGAATGTGTGGTGTGATCGGCGGTTGTCTACCGCAGGTCGTTGTGGATGCGCATGTGGCCGAATAGACCCATGCGATGCGTGAAGGTGCGAGGGCAGTGTGGGCAGTGGAGGCGAGTGCGGTGAGTGCAGGTTGGTGCTCCAGGCACTGGTTCGCCAGACTCTGTGCGATGGATTCGCAAGTGACCGACCAGGCCGATGCGTGAAGTGAAGGTGCGATCGCAGTGAGGGCAGATGTAGTCCGGTCCCTCACATCTGTTGATGGAGGTTGCAGGGGTTGTGCCTGTTGTTGTGTCAGGTGCGGCTGTGGTAAAGTCGTGCGCTACAGACGCCGGAGTGGCCGTCGTCGAGGCAGTGAAGGAGGAGGTTGAGGAGGAAGGGGGGGGAGTGAGGGGTGGTAAGGTCGGTGGCGTCGATGTCGGCTGGGGAGTGGTTAGTGGGTGCACAAGGTGATGGATTGGGAGTGGGGCTCGGCGGGGTGGGTGTGTCAAGGCTGCGGTCAATTCCGCTCCCGTGGATGCGCATGTGGCCGAATAGGCCCATGCGATGCCGGAAGGTGCGAGGGCATTGTGGGCAGTGGAGGCGAGTGCGGTGGGTGTAGGTTGGTGCTCCAGGCACTGGTTCACCAGTCTCTGTGCGATGGATTCGCAAATGACCGACCAGGCCGTTGTGTGAGGTGAAGGTGCGGTCGCAGTGAGGGCAGGTGGGGGTGCTTGCGGTTGCTGTGTCGTGGTTGGCGATGTGTGAGACGGCAGCCTGAACGGCCACCGTTGGGGCAGTGGAGGAGAAGGAGGAGGATGGAAGTGTTGGTGCAGAAGGAGTGTCAGAGTTAGTTGGCGGAAGAGAGGACGAGGAAGAGGCGGGCGCGGGGACGATGGCTGGAGCAGTTCGAGAGGTGCAGTTGGTTCGAAGATGTCCAACAAGTCCGATTCGTGCCCGGAATGTCCGTTGACATCGAGGACACGTAGGGAGAGGTTGTGCGGCGGCGTTGCGTATTGGGCGAAGTTGTAATTTGCGGACTTCGCGTTTCACTTTGGCGGCGGCGATGCGGTTGGCTTCGTAGATAGCAGCGCCCGTCTTCTCTGTTCTCCTCCATGTCGGACGATCGCGGGCGAGCTCTTCCCAGTTGGTCGGGTTGATGTGCAGGCGCTTCAGGGAGGACTTCAGAGTATCTTTGTTACGGCGAATTTGGCCTCCTTGACGACGAGAACCCGTCGCGACGTCTCCGTAGAAGAGTCGTTTGGGTAGTCGCTCGTCGTCCATGCGCACCAGATGGCCGCTCCAGCGCAGCTGCATTTGTCTCAACATGGAGTAGATGCTCAGAATTCCCGTCCGTTCCAGCACTTCGGTGTCGGGGATGCGGTCCTGCCAGTTCAGCCTCAGGATGCGGCGGAGACAGCTGAGGTGGAAGTGGTTAAGTCGACGTGCCTGCCTCGTGTACACCATCCAGGTCTCCGCTCCGTACAGTAGCGTCGGCAGGATGACGGCCTTGTACATCTTCAGCTTTGTGCTCAGTTGGAGACCATGACGATCCCAAACTGTGCTTTGGAGGCGACCGAAGGCTTGACTGGCTTTCGAGATCCTGTTGGCGACTTCGTCGTCGATCTTGGTGTTGCGGGAGAGCGTGCTGCCCAGGTACGGGAAGTTCTCTACCACTTGCAGTTGAGTCCCATTCACGTTGATTTGCGGCGCGTTTGGGGCTGTGGCTGAGTTGGGAGGCGGCTGATGCATCACCACCGTCTTCTGCGTGTTGATAACCAGCCCAAAGTTCTCGCAGGCGGCGGAGAATAGGTCCATGCTCCGTTGCATCTCCACTTCTGAGGTGGTGTTCAGGACGCAGTCGTCGGCGAAGAGGAGTTCGTGCACGGTGGCTGTGGATACACGCGATTAGAAGTTCATGCGCCGGCGATTCAGGAGATGACCGTCCGTTCTATAGGCGATGCGGATTCCAGGGCGTTCGTCGCGGTAGACGTCCATCAGCATGGCAGAGAACATGAGACTGAAGAGGATAGGCGCCAGCACACAGCCCTGCTTCACTCCGTTGGTCACTGCGAATGCCTCTGAGACAGCTCCGTTGTCCGTGACTCGCGCCATCATACCGTCGTGCAGCTGACGCACCATCTGGGTGAATCGCTCCGGACAGCCGAATTTCTGCATAATCTTCCACAGTCCTTCACGATTCACCGTGTCGAAGGCTTTCGTCAGGTCCACGAACGTAGAGTACAGGTGGGTCCGCATCTCCTGGCACTTCTCCTGAAGTTGGCGGGCTACGAAGATCATATCCATGGTCCCACAATGACGACGGGAGCCGCATTGGCTTTCTGGCAGAAGGCCCTGTTCCAGATGGTTGTTGAGGCGGTTGAGCAGGATGCGAGCGAAGATCTTCCCGGGATGTTCAGTAGGGAGATGCCGCGGTGGTTGTCGCAGACTTGGCGATTCCCTTTTCGCTTGTGTAGGTGCACGATAGTTGCGTCCTTGAAATCTTGCGGGACTTCACTTTGACGCCACATCTCCTGGAAGAGCGCAGTCAGGTGATCCATCAGTAGGGGACCTCCGTGCTTGTAGACCTCAGCAGGGATTGCGTCCGATCCGGGTGCTTTCCCGCTGGAGAGCTGCTGCACGGCCCTGATCGTTTCCTGGAGAGATGGCGGGAGGTCGAGGTCCGCGTTGGTTGCCACTTGCGGCAAGCGGGCGATGGCGGCGTCGGAGATGACGGAAGGGCGGTTGAGGACGCCTCGGAAGTGCTCGGCCCATCGCTGCAGGATTTGCGTCTTCTCAGTCAGGAGAGTGCTGCCGTCGGCGCTGAGGAGAGGAGCAGTGCCCTTCGTCGGCGGACCGTAGACAACTTTGATCGCGGAGAAGAAGTTCTTCCATTCGTTGCGGTCCGCGTAGCCTTGGATCTCCTCAGCTTTGCGAGCAGTCCAGGCGTCCTGCATCTCGCGCAGTCGTTGCTGAAGCTGTCGGCGACTGCGGTAGAAGGCAGCTTTGTTGCCCTCAGTTGGGTGCTCTACGTAGGCTTTGTGATGGCGGTTCTTCTCGGCAAGCAGATTTCTGATGGCAGCGTCGTTGTCGTCGAACCAGTCCTGGTGTTGGCGGGGAGCGCGACCGAGGACGGCGAGCGCCGTCGACTGGACCGTGTCACGCAGTTGACACCAGCGGTTCTCCACGGAGGCGTTCTCGGCAGCGGCGGCGGCG